GAACAACAGAACCCAGATTAACTAACAAACAGATGGTTAGTATATAGACTTGGGACGTGGAAGGACCATATGCGAAGCCTGATCTCTGCCTGATGCTGAACAGGAATGTAGGCAGGTGCTTCTCTGTCCCAGGCTTCGAGTATCTCAGGCATCAAGCTGTTCAGGCGCATCTGTCCTTCTCTGACGTTTATTCACACAAAAAAGTCACAATTTCTTTTGCGTGAAGAGGATAAATGATTTTAAATGTTTTGGATTCCTACACTCTTGCTTTTCATGCAGCCCCAATTCCAAGTCCTTGGGGACAGACTATGTCCTTTTTTTTTAATATGCATGGGAGGCAGCTGTCCTGTTAAGTAACTCAGGTGCAAATATTCTGTGTTAAGTGTCTTAACAAGGCCTGCGGAAGAGAGAGATGCTGAGTGCCTCTAACATTGAAGGAGTCAGGCTCAGCACCTCCAAAATTTGGTTACTCTGAGCGGATTTATTCTGATTGCTCTGATGTAAAGCAAAACTTACTGTGCTGGGTAGAGTGGGCATGAGTTGTCATCCTCTTACAGCCATGAATTCAAAATGTTAATAGGCCTTCATATGTGTTTAGCACCTACTGCACATGTGAAGCAGGTGAAGGTGAAGCCCAGCTGAATGCAGTGTGCACGGTATTCTCTGACAGCAGAAATTAACCCTAATATGCTACCTCTGGGAAATTATTTGTTTCTTTAAAACTAAGACATGAATAGGTGTCTTTTACAGTGCACCAGTAATGCTATGGACCCCATAGCTTTCCTGCTTTCACTCCAGTTGTATGAACAGTAAGTTGAACATGGATTTATCTTGATTTCTCTGGAGGCAATGCTACGCTAATGAGTTGTAAATGAATCTTAACAGATTGCTGTCTACAGGAGTGTACCTTGTAAAGAAAGACTGGTGAAATTAAGCTGTAGAAAATATATTAATAAGAAGAGATAAAGAATAAATTGGATTAGAACAGATTTGGTATTTGCTTATTTCTTCTTATTCTGCTACTCAGCATGAGTGTCATGAGCAAGAAAAAAGAAAAGCAGCAACATTGCAGCATTGCACCAGAAAGCAGATCAGAGGTCCAGAAGCAGGCAGGTGGATGTTTGAACTTGTCCTGGATCACCTCTGGATTCCAGTAAACTCCTCCTGACAGGTGGCTTGCTGCTTGGAGTACCATGCAATGTTTATCCAGGGAGATGCTTGGATGACAAGCTGCATCAGGCTGAGGAAGAGGGTCTTTGCTTTGATGAGGAAATTGACAAAACTTATGTCTCATTAGTGTTTCCTAAGGTCCTTTGGAAGTGAGCAACCGTTTAATTAAAGGCTGACGTAAACATGTTTCTGCACACTTTCCCTGCAGCATTTTATCGCATTAGAATTGATCAAAATTGTTGCCTTGGGCTGTCTTGAGCAGATACGCATCTGGAGCACCATTTGTGCAAGCTGCTGATGAGCAGGCTACATACGCTGAGCTTCACAGCAGCACTCCTCTGCCTGTGTAGATGGAATTACCTTGTTGGGAGATGAGTTGATCTAACCCTTTTTGTTTGCATAAGCATGTATATCTTTTATGTGATGCTTTGCAGTTGGTATCATGCCACCATTTGGGTGCATACATCCTAGATCTCCATGGTAATACCAGCATACAGGAAAGAGCGATTTGGAACAACACTGGGAATTTTTTTAAAATGTAATCTGTTTTTCACATTTGGCGAAAATTCTAGGCAGGACAGGACACAGTGCGTTCTGATTAATGTTGACCTTCTGATAACTTTATCCAACTGCTTTTGGCTTCTTTCTTCTTTTCACGTACACTTAACATTTTTCCAAAAATCTGAAAATAAATCATAGTTGAAGCTGTTTTACTTTCATTCTCAAAGCAATAAGGATCGGAATTTCACTTCTGAAACTCTGACACAGACATAAAGACAAATCACCTGTTTCTGTGACCTCTGCCACTTATTAGTTATCAGCATATAATTAAGCTGTATCTAGCAACTAGACTGTATCTCATGGTGTGGAAAAAAGCAGATATGTTCTAAAATGAGAACAATATACAATTTCTGTTTTGTTGAAGCTGCTGGTGAAATTATATGAAGTCTCACTGTTGCCTTAACTCATTCTGCTTTATTGAAGGCACTGTTATTTTTTAGGAGCAAAATTAAAGACAGTGGAAAACCACTTGGCCTTTTTGTGCCTTTTTAAGTTTTTGTTTTTATAACTGGTTATTCTCCAAAGTGTAATTTGTGTGGTTTGTTACTAAAGCTGTAAGCCTACTCTCTTGGTCAAAAGGAGACCACTGCAAGTCTTTCTTCATAACCTACACAAACAGTTATTGTTCTGGCACCTCTATAGGCTGCATCTGTTATTCCACTGTGAATAGGACATGAATGCTTCATTATGATGTCAGTGCATACACGGGGAGAACAAGCCGGGGAAGAGGCTGTGGAATGACTTCACAATGTGATGTTGGTACATTGTTTTAACAAAGAGGCTGCTGCCTTTCCTCTAAACTCCCCTGAATTTGCATATGCTATATATGACATGGAATTACCTTGTGGTGAGCTGCGTGATGTACGTCGAAAAGTCTCTGGTTTTGCAAGTAATGAATATTTCTCTGCCAGTCCCTAATTTTGTATTATTGACTACCAGTTGGCACTCACCTTGGTGAGGAAGTTCATTGTATTGGCTTTGTAATTTATACTGACCATAGTTATATATTTTTTTCTGGCAGTAAGAGAAATAAATAAGACAAAGCTTAAAACAAAATGCAAGGTCTACAGTAATCACCAATCCTCTCTACAGTAAAGTCTTTTCAAATTAGTGATACCACTATGGGGCTAATGGATACTCGGATTACATCGCACTTCGTATAGCATTCTTCTTTCAGCAATTAAAATATTTTGGCTTTGACAAACATAACAGCCTTTGCTTGTTTAATGAACTAACAGTCACTAACCAAATTAAATCTCTGCTGCACTCCAGAAATCTTCTCTGCGGACATGTGCAGAACTTCAGGAGCTAGACATTTTTTTCTTCTGTGAGGTCTTTTGCTAGGTGCAGGCTTTACATAAGTGAAAGATCCTTTACCTCCAGCCCCTGTCTTGTTCATTCTTTAGGGAGACTTAGCTGCAGCACTTCGAATTGGGATTAAAATTCAACTGTTTTTACTCCCTCTCTTTTGTGATACTCTATATGTAGTATTACCCATCTCAGTCCCCAAAAGAGTTTTACTGAGGTATTTGGTTACCAATAAGTAAGTTCTGTGGCTGCTTTTCTTGGACATGGAGTGACAGTGGAAGGCTGAAACCACAAGCTAGCAGGCACACTGGAATGTTTTTTGCAAGGGAAGATTGGGGGCATAGAGGACCACAGTACAAAGACGAAAGCTGGTTAATTTTGCCCTGCGGAGGTATGAGAAGTTTACTCCTCTTAGATGAAACTTAAATAAAGAAGCTAAAGCTGTCACTTGAGTGCAAAATAAAAACACAATGAGATATTTGAAAATCATTCCAGAATTAACGTGTCTTTTATCATGGGATACCTGCGCAAAACTCAGTTTTTAAAATGCAGTTTTAAAAAGGGTTCCTACAGCAAAGCAGAGTAAATGACTTTTACTGAAAGTGTAACCATTTAGTAAGGTTGTCTTTGCTCTCTGCTGATAAATTCAAATACAGAAAATATCCCCCATTTTATCTCGTAACAAGAGTTTGTTTACTGAATTTGTCTAAGATGGCTAGAGGTATCTCTGCCAGCACTCAGTGCCTTGATAACGTAAAAAAAACCTTAAGTCAGTATAAGGATAATAAAAATAGATAATAGAGTGTCAGAGAGGCCAAGTGGTCCCTCTGTGTGGGAGGCCCTGCTTTGGGGTGAAAACCCACACTGAAGCTGCAGCAGGTTCAGAAAGTACTCAGTAAATTTGTTTTTGGAAGGGCAGTCCCGTTACTCAGCATGGGCCTATCTGCAACTTCCCAAAAGATTTAGTGTCCCCAGGAATAGCACAGCACAAGCGCAATGCACCAATACGAGAAGTGCCAAAAGCACTTAAGGCTAAGAGTAGTATGGTCCGTGTAGGAAGGTCAGCTGCAACGTGGCCCCAGTCCAATGAAGTACTTATGAAATGAACTGCCCTTCAAGCATCAGCTAGTCCCATTGATTTGAAATTGAACCATCTACAATCCTGATGTGTGTCCTAAAATAAATAAATGTTATAATTAACTTTGGAATAATTTAATTCAGTGCAAAGTACTCTAAAAGTTTTTTAATTAATTTAAGATTGTGTTATGCAATACCGATAATCCTGTTTGGTAGAAATAATTCATTTGCCTCTGCTATCATGTTACCTACATGCAGTGGGCTCTAGAGGAGATGTTTTTCTTGATAGGGAAACTGGAAGGAAGAGGTGGGAAGGCCCTCCTTGAGACATGGAAAATATGAAAAAGAAGTTTAAGCATCCTTTTTGCTTAGGAAGGTTACATTGTTTCACTGCTCTTTTGGGGAGGATAAGGGATGGGTTTTGAAATAACAAAATAATAAATACCATAAAAAGGCATGTGAAAAGGAGACATATGTATGGCAGTTACCCTACACACCTGACCGTAGGTGTTCCATTAAAAAACACAATAAAGATTATGCGGCTGTTGAAGGAGCAAATGACTTGGTGGTGTTCCGTGGAGTGGAAATGTGTCGGAGGAGGTTCCGAAGGCATGTGTTTCTTCACTATTTGGCTTGTCTGGTATGCAAGGAATGTAGTTTCTGTTTTACAGGACAAAGACCAGTTAGTAGATTATTTTTCATTCTCAAGTTGGAAGGCAATAGTTTAAAATTAGTTTATTGGCCATAGGGGAGTTGGATCACCAAACAATATTTATGTAAGAACAGTAAAAATAAATTTATTCAGTTTACAAAATGATGTGTCCTGAGATGTAACACAGGGCTCTTAAGCTCATGTCTAAGCTAATGTTGCTTCTCTCTTGCAGATATGTCATCTCCTACAATGAAGAAACCTGAAAAGCCTTTGTTTAGTCCTACATCTCCCCAGGATTCTTCACCAAGACTGAGCACTTTTCCCCAGCATCACCACCCAGGAATACCAGGAGTTGCACACAGTGGTGAGAGATGTGCAGGAGGAATTCCTCCCTTTTGTTTGGTCTCTACCTCTTTCCTATAGTCTGATGGCATTTGCGTAGATTTTCTTGGAGACCTGCCACCAAATATTTCACTTCTGAGACTGGAAAGGAGATAAATACGTTGTAGAGGTTGAGAGATCCTTGCAGAAATGCTCATTAAACTCGTCGCAGGTAGCTTGACTGTTGCAAGTCGCTGAAAGCACTTAGGATAGCTAGTAAAAAAAAAAAAAGGCTGTAGATTGCACAAAGAAAATGAAAGAGGAAAGAACATCCCTGTCTTTACTCCTTCCACTTCATCCTCTTCTGTTATTGTTGTTATGACTGAATTGCATTTACATGCCGTAGAGAAGTCACGATCGTGTTGAATGTGTGATGCAGTGAAATAGGTGTCACTGCTTCTTTTGAACACTATCCAGAGAGGCAGAGACCTGACAAATATTTTTCATCACCTATTTCCTGAAATCCATAGTGCAACTTTCACTTAAAGAGTGAAGAAGACACTTGAAATGTGATGGCCTACAAGCTCTCATTAAGGCTTATCAGGAATAACAGGGAAATTCCAGCTGCATGGTCTGTTCAATTTTAGAGGTGAGAGTGACCCTGATTCTTCAAAATATGGTTTGACACTAAGGAATCTCCTCTCAGTGGCTCATCATTTCTCCTTGCAAACTGTGTATAAAGGGATACAGTATTTGCTGTCTTGGGCACTTGGAGGAGAAAAGCAGCTTTCAGGATTATTCCTCTCTGTAACAAGTCGTGTTGTAATTCTGTAATTTCCCTGTGATTTTGAATTTCTATCTTTCAATTTATATGACAGGGTTTGTTTTTTTTTTCCCTTCATCATCCATTTACTCTATGATCTAAAAGTCAGTCTGGATTCATTCCAATCTCTATAAAAATTCTGATTCTACCATCAGAAAATGCTTAATCACATCAGAGATGGTGCGTGGACAGAAAGGGTAAATTTCTGTTCGCTTGTGTTTGTTTTGCATAGCTCTCACATGTCAGGGTGAGTAATGTTTTGTGATTAAACTGAGCTGGTGTGACTGTCTTTTAAGTAAGACAAGTCTGTCAAGTAAGAAACTTCTATAATTACTTTTTGTTCCTAACCTCACTTATGTGTAGATTTTTATATCTGCTTTAGTGTATATTTTCAGGTGTATTTCAGTGGCAGTCCTATCTTATTCTGTATGGGAGCTGTTTACTTTTACTTGCCAGGACACCTGATCTCCATTCAGGGCACCCTATTCTATTATCTTAGTGAGAACTGACTGGAGATTTTCAGGATTTTGACTACAAAGTACAGCGACTTTGAAACATGTCTACAGACATTTCTTCCTAGGCTAACTTTCACTTGTTCTCAGCTCAAAAAAAAAAAAAAAACCATTTAAAACTTGATATAAAGCTGAAAATAACTGAAGATATGCAAAATGCTTCCCCCCCCGCTTTTTTTTGCAGTGTAGTAAGGGTATAATAATGTGAATTATTGTGTAGCGTGGTGGAGCGATGCTCCTGCTTGCAGCTCGACAGCTCAGCGGTAGCAGAACATTCTGTACATTCCTTTCACTGGGAAAGCATTGCTGGTTATTTAGACTTTACATATAGTCTACAGATAGAGACTGTGTGTTTGTAGGGGCTGGGAAGAGGGAGAATGCAAAGAAAAATATAGATGCCTTTTTGTTTGCCAGGGGTATTTTCTTTGGATGGCATGGTTTCCCAGGCCCTGAAGTTGAATGTTCATTAGCATTTTGACAAAGGTCAACTAATTATTCATGGCATTATTGCCTACTAGTTGTTGCTGCCTCCCCACATGAGGCAGGTAGAGTACAATACAGTGAGGAGTGACTAGCTCTTTCTTAGGACTTAGTGACTTTGTTCTCCTCTGTTGGATTGTTGTGGGTAGGTTTTTACTTATTTAGTAGAATATTTGTTTAATGTATTTGGGCTGCACAGAGGAAAACTTTGGAAGTCGGTTGTCTTTTATGCTGGATAATCATTATTATCTTCAAAGAAAAATGAAATAATATAATGACCAAACCCACAAAACCAAAGCAAAACGCAGAGTTTATGAACTGCGAACAGCAGCCCATCCCGTTGTCTGAGATGATGCGAGAGGAGGATGTAGAAGTTTTTCTGTAAAGTCTCGTGAGGCAGGAGTGCAGTGGGCTGGTTTATTTTTCTTGCTGTAATGCAGAGGTGAAACATTTTAGATGAAACAAGATGCAAAGTGACTATTTAATTTTATTCTGTCTCCCACAGTCATCTCAACTCGAACTCCGCCTCCGCCGTCGCCATTGCCGTTTCCAGCACAAGCTATCCTCCCTCCTGCCCCATCTAGCTACTTCTCACACCCGACCATCAGATACCCTCCGCACCTGAATCCTCAGGATACGCTGAAGAATTACGTACCTTCCTACGACCCGTCCAGCCCGCAGACCAGCCAGGTACTGTAAGATGCTTCAGAGGAGCTCCTGCCAGGAATGTGTGCTTGAGTGTCTCGCTGGCTCCGGGCTCAGAGCAAGCGGGAGGTACAAGGCAAGCGATTCCGCACGCTTTGACCTTAAACGAGGTTGAGTGAAGGGCTCAGGTCAGGCATGTCCACCATGGATGGGCACCTGAGTACGTGGGCAGGAAGGTACATCCGCAGACCCACATTCAAGACAAGCGCTGGTAGGGCGATGCTTGAGTTCTCCTCAGGCGCCCGGCAGTTCTTTGCCCAGGTGCAAAAACCGGGCTGTGGTGAGTATGGCATGGACCTACAGCCTTGTTTTTCCTTCATTTTGCAAAGAATGTGCAGCAGCAGCTCAGCTTCTGACTGCTGTGCTGAATCAGGCATGTTTCTGATATGGGAAATTAATGTGGTTTTCGTTAGCGAAGTAATCTGTGAATACTCTGTGCAAAACTGCTTTCCACAACAGTATTGGCACATAGCATTAACCTGTGATCTGCAGTATAGGATAAGCTGCTAGTTGAATCTTGGTCGGTCAATACTTGGAGTATTTCCAGTGTCAGTGTAATGCAATCTGTGCTGCTCAGCCCAGTGTCTGTTTTGCTGCCTTGTCTGGAGTGCAGCATGTGCTCTAGCGCATTCTCGGGAGAGTTTGGGAATGCAAACTGAGGCGACAGTGCTCAGGTTATCCTGCAACCAGGAACTGCTTCTCTATGGAAGCCTTACAGGGGGCGTAGGGATCGTTGCGATAACACTATTTACAAGAAGCGACCGGCCCTTCAGTGGGCATTGCAGATACAAGAGCAATAGATGTTGAGACTGCACCAAAGTTTCTGTGCTGAAAGACAAATAAAGCCCCTTTGGGCTGCTCAGAAGGTCACTATGGCCACTGGCCAAAGCTCTGGTCTGGCTGCATGACTTTTTGCACATTTAAAACACGCTGTCAGTCCTTAGATCCACACCTTACTTCAAATGGAGTGTGATTTTTGTTGGCTAAAATATCAGTGCAAATGCAACTAAAAAAAGAAAAAAAGTGAAAAGAGAGTATGTCAGCTTTAAACTACAAATTGCTGTCTGTGCACAGATTAAAAATCTTTCAGTCCCATATAGCATTTTCTGCTGAGATTCAGCTGGGAACAGTGCATGCAGGACCTGATTTTAATTTGTGTAAAATTTCCATGAATAACAAAGTCTAATTAAGACATCCATTAAAAGTCCTTAGTGTTAATTCAGTGCAGAAAATCTTGGAGTTCGATTGGATTTTTTTTTTAACTGATGTCTTAATTAGGCACTATTAAGGGAAAAGTATGCAAATTAAAATCAGACCCTTAGTGTTATGCATTTCTTTAATTATTCAGTGCTTGTTTTACTTACATTTTGATTTCTTATACATTAAAAGAGCAGATTAGGTGACAGCCTCACTAAATTGTTGAGTATTTTCCTTCATATCACCAGTGAAAAAATGCAACATCTAAATGAAGTATCTGACTTTGTTTCAGACAGTTGACGGTAATATTGCAAAGTGTATTAATATGGCAGAAACTTTCAACCCTTTTCCTGAAAAGAACGTACTCTCTTGGTTTTTAATCTGCAGTTAAAAAATTAATCCCTTAAGCTCGAAAGAAGAGTTTTACTCTGCTGGTGCTTTCAGAGTAGTGGCAAACTAAAAATATTTTTGATTCTTGTGTTGTGACACCCAAGAGGAAACAGGCCAAACCATCTTCAATATACCACTTTGTCACCTTTCATAACCTTTCATTAGGGTAATGTTTTGCATTTAATTTGATGTTTGATTTTGTTCTTGAAAAGAGAGGACAGGGTTAACACCACCAAATATGGGATTCTGGTCATCTGCACCAGCAGTTCTCTACAATTTATTATCATTAATCACTGTTATTAATGGAATCCATTTAAAATTTAATTCTTTAATGTTCACCTCTGAGGTATGCCCTACATTAGAGGATCCACATGCTCGATCAAAAAATCTCTCCTAATAGAGTAGTTACAGGATGACTGTACAAAACAGTAAAATAGCAAGATTTTTTTTCCTTAGGAAAGAAAGAGCAGTTTTCTGTGAAGTTTCTGTGACAAAGGGGAATTGTTCTGATACAATGGCATGCTTTGAGCCAAACCAGTTTTTCTTTTCTAAATAAAACATGAATTTTTATTCAAACAAATTTAATTATTATAAAATGCAAAACTGCATCTGTAGGAATACCACATCAAATTTAATTATACTTTCCCACCTCAAAACATATTCATTTGGATTTCAAAAAGAGAACTATGATGATAGTTTTAATTTCAGCTTTAGAAATAGAAAGAATGGATACCCTGACAGCATTTACCTAAAATGAACCGTTCCTCCCGAACATCTTTCAGTAATACACTAATTTAGATTGTTACGACAAGCAACTGAGATGCCTTGTACTCCCCACAGCAATTTTGAGATTAATTACATTACTGCTGCACTGATTATAGTGAGACAGTCATGCTATTCAATGGAATACTTTAAGTAAAATTAGTTTAAAGATATAGAGCTCACATAGGTTTCCACAGGGGAAACAGTGGGCAATTTTCTTGACATAATGTTAAATACTTCAAATTATGTGTGATGAACAGTCAGGAAGTTCAAACAGGCCCTTTGGCTGCATTGAAAAATGATGCAACAATGGATTATTCTAAACAAAAGAGAGCCCCGGCTTCCAGTTTCATGCGTATCTGCTTTTTATCCCCTGTTCAGCCTGGAGAATAAATAAGCAAATATATTGAACAGAAATGAATCTTATTAGCAATAGAACTGGTGATTTCCAGGACTGCTCTACCTGGAAGTAGCTAGTTCTGCTGAATCCTTTTTATTTTTTTATTCTAACTCTTTTCTTCTTGGCTTGGTGCACATGTTCCTGGTTGAGATTGTGTGTATGAACACGTATGTGTATTATGATAAGGTACTAGTCCCTTCATAGTTAAATTGGTACTGGGTAGTCATTGTAAGTTTCATCAAAAACTAATCAACTGGTATGTGTGTAATGTATTTATCTGTTTGTACAGCAGCTTGAGATTTCCAAAGCTGGCTCAAATTTTGAAAACCCATTTCCTTTTTAAAAGGTTCCAGATGGATGTTCCAGTTTTGTCTATGGCTTGGAAAATTTGGCCTTGTGTGTGTATGCACATATGCGTGCACACACAAATCATCCTGAATATACGGCATTAAAATCAGACTTCCAAGTATCCCAGAAAAGTCATTAAGCACAGAAAAAAAACCCTGTACAGCTGAAGGAAAATCCCAAAGTTCCAAAATTAATGCCCCATTGAGCTAAATGGAATCATTTCCCAAATGAGATGTGATAAAATATAGAAGAAGGGTAAACAAGTTGATGAAGAAAATGATGGTAAAGCAAAAAATTAAGGTGCATCCTGGCAAAGAACATCCTATCATATTTGAGATTTTTTTGGCAGACCTTTTCTGGAAGAGTATTCAGCAGTGAAGGTTGTAGGGATCCTGCTGTGTAAGCAGAGGGTCTTGGAAGCCCTTTGAGTTGCATTTTGAAGGACACATAACCTTACTATTAAATCACTTTCCTGATACGATTGATAAATTTGATGAATGCAGGTCATCTGAGTGGCATGGCAGAACTGCTTCTGGTTTGGGGGAATACCTGTGCCTGCTTCAGTAAATGACTTAAGCTTGTCGTGTACGACAGTCCAGGTGAACTGCTTTCCACTGAAAGTTACCAGGCTTGGTAATATACTTTAAAATATACTTTGCATGGGCTAGCTTGCAGCTGAATTTTCATTGGCTTTGGCTTTACCTGAAGACAAAAAATTCTAAACTGGTTGGGTTGTTCTTCCTTTATTCATTGAAAGATAGGCGCTCTGTTAAGTAACTCCAAGAAGATGCTTTGGCATTCTCCAGTATCACTGCTGCAATCATTTAGCAAGAAGGAGGGAATAGAGTAGGCACCATTTGGGCTTGTCACAGGGTTTTTCATTTATTCCAAGGAGAATTCAATTCAAGTAGAATAAACCAACATAAGTAATACATGTGCATGCAGTATCTGTTCTATAGCCTTTATTTGTTGACGTTTAAGAGTTTTGAACTTCTTGGCCAATGTTTTCCTTCAAGTCTTTTGTTGCAATTCCCTCCAAAATAATGAACTAAGGTTCAATGTTTTCAGTTATACTTAGGAGGCAAAGAGAGAGCTCTGGCTAAACAATATTTTCTAAAAAAGACTTTAAAGATTTATTGCACTTGTAAATTTTATATATATATATATATATAATATATATATATATTTACCCATTTTTAGTTTATTAAATGCACCATTTTAAGTCTCTGGACTGCATGAACATTTGTCTGCAAAGATACTTTCTTTTCTGTGTTTCTGTCATATACACTTGTCCTGTTATTAATACAAATATCCAAAGAAAAGCTGGATGTCAAGAACTTTAGGTTTTGCACAGGTGAAATTGTGGCTGAGGCCAGAGTACTCTTCACCTAACTAACTGCTTCGTCGTTATCTATGGCTGAGACCACCACTATCATTTGCTGAACCAATCGTGCTTTTCTTGGGTGCTTTTTCAAATGAGTGAGATTCGGAACCTTATATTTCTTGATTTCTCTCAAAAAAAACCCAGTACAGAAGTAATGTTATCAGCCAAGAACTGACAAGAACTTTTTTTTTTTTCCCCTCAAAGCTAACTATCCTCCAAGCAGACAGGTAGCTGCATGTCACACGACCTGAAGCTCTTGTGTGGGATCTCCCAGTGAGGTCTGTGTAAGATGTGTTGTAGCAATCCGTTACTGCAGTTGCAAGTGCAGAGATTCTAAGAGATTCTAGTGAGATTCATCCCTGGAAGACCTGCTAGTGGGATCTATAAAAGGCAAAAGATATTCTTGTTGGCTACCATGGCATCCAACAGCAGAAAAACGATTTGCACGATTTTGCTTCTTATTAAACGAACAAGTATTGAGCCCATGTACTGTGGGGAAGAACT